GGCAAAATGTCATCTAGTGGAACAAAAATCAACTAAATATTGATTTAAATTGTTCCCTGATATTTGGCCAACACAATTTCTTGATAAATCAAGAAAAACCAAACTCCGCCTTTGCCGGTCCCAAGCCCGGATGAAAAAGGAGGAGGGGGAGCAGTAACAAGCTCGCTAAAAAAACTGGGCTCAGCTGGCCCGGCTGATAGTACCCTGTAAGGGCTCCTAATCCATGGATACAGGATGAGCAGCGTTTGTACTCCATGTTAGGAGGGGCTGCACATGGCGTCTGTTCCTCATGTCAGAGGCGGCCATTTCTTTTGGAGCTAAGTCGGCCTGCCACTGAGTAGTGCCCCCAGTCTTAATGACAAAGGCAGACGCATTCTACTTCACCCAGTCATGATCTCAAGCTTTACAAGCTTGATACCCTAATATGATTGAGTGGAGATAAGAAAGAAGAAGAAGAAAAACCAACCAGGTATGTGTTTTGGGCTGTTGGCTCACGTCAGCGTGATGCAGGCTGTTACCTCTACGAGCAAAATTTTGGTTCTCTTTTATTTCTTTGCTTAGTAATTCCTGAAGCAATTTTGGCAGCAGAATCTGTTTCTTCATCCCCTTGTATTCCTGCAGCCACGAATACTCGTGTCTTTTTCTAAATACAAACAAGGCCGTCATTGCCTAATTGTAAGTTAATCTTCACAGAAAAAGTATACTTTGTCAAATAAGTGACCCTGGTTGCACTTACTTTTGAGGCTGTTTTTGTTGGAGGAATCGTGGAGCTATTGAACATTTTTTGAAAAAATAGAATACTCAATGCGTCAATCATGTGTCGTGATTGAATAAAATAACAGCTTATATATCTTCCAACACTTCAACAATATATTTCTCTCGGATAAAACATTCGTTTTATGCGGATTCTTACACGCCACGCCTAACTAAAACAATCTACAAAAGTTTATGATACAAGGCGATATATAATATAGTGCAACACTTAAAGTTTCACCGCATAAGTTTCTTTTCTATGAAAAATCAATATTTATTTCAAAGAGAAATATCTACTATTTCTAACTTTTTGGATGACGTATGAAAGGGTGAAAATATGAAGAGTAATGGTCTATATATAATTGGATGACGTATGACGTATTTTCACCCTTTTATACGTCATCCAATTATATATAGACCATTACTCTTCATATTTTCACCCTTTCATACGTCATCCAAAAAGTTAGAAATAGTAGATATTTCTCTTTGAAATAAATATTGATTTTTCATAGAAAAGAAACTTATGCGGTGAAACTTTAAGTGTTGTTTTATAATCATACGCCGCAGTCCTTTATAATATATAATATAGTGTTTCGGAAGGAAGATATTCAAGTATGTAGTGAGGCACTTTAATTATGTATCAGAATACGATGTACCGTGTTTATCAACCTAGTAAAAAAACGCTACCAGTTTTGTCAAATTCAGACAAAAGGCCAACAGCCTGTATACCATGATTTCAGGCTATGACCCTCATCAGTACAGGGGCGGCTTCAATTAAATAACATCCTACGAGAGAGGTTATGGAATCAGCCGAATTTGTTAAAAAAGGAGGTTAAGCTGGTGCAAGGGCCGATTTTCAGTCTAGAATACGACAAAAAGTTGTGGGAGGAGTATATTCATGTATCTAGAGAGGTCTTAGTTCTCTTCAATTACTCTGTAAACTGGCGAATCCTATATAGGACGAGAGGTCCTCAATAAAGGCTTTTTGTTGTTGTTGTTGTATCTAGAGAGGTACATCTCCCTTTACTTATACAGGTTGGCTTTTGTCTGAATTTTCCAAAACTGGCATTGTGGCTCTTTCTTCAAAAAAAAAAAGTCGGTGGACAAGTGGGTAACACCCTCGATTCCCGACAGTCATGAACCGGGATAGAATCCTGTGTTAACATTATGTTTAATATGTGAATAACCTTCATATATTATTCACTGTTGCAATTATCATAAACTAGGTTGCTCTTGTTGATCGGTACCTAATAAAGTGATTTTGAACCGGTGGCCTCATTCTTAAAAAAAAAGTCGGTGACAAGTGGGTAACACCCTCGATTCCCGACAGTCATGAACCGGGATAGAATCCTGTGTTAACATTTTGTTTAATATATGAATAACCTTCATATATTATTCACTGTTGCAATTATCATAAACTAGGTTGTTCTTGTTGATCGGTACCTAATAAAGTGATTTTGAACCGATGGACTCATTCTTAAAAAAAAGTCGGTGACAAGTGGGTAACACCCTCGATTCCCGACAGTCATGAACCGGGATAGAATCCTGTGTTAACATTATGTTTAATATGTGAATAACCTTCATATATTATTCACTGTTGCAATTATCATAAACTAGGTTGCTCTTGTTGATCGGTACCTAATAAAGTGATTTTGAACCGGTGGACTCATTCTTAAAAAAAAAGTCGGTGACAAGTGGGTAACACCTTCGATTCCCGACAGTCATGAACCGGGATAGAATCCTGTGTTAACATTATGTTTAATATGTGAATAACCTTCATATATTATTCACTGTTGCAATTATCATAAACTAGGTTGCTCTTGTTGATCGGTACCTAATAAAGTGATTTTGAACCGGTGGACTCATTCTTAAAAAAAAAGTCGGTGACAAGTGGGTAACACCCTCGATTCCCGACAGTCATGAACCGGGATAGAATCCTGTGTTAACATTATGTTTAATATGTGAATAACCTTCATATATTATTCACTGTTGCAATTATCATAAACTAGGTTGCTCTTGTTGATCGGTACCTAATAAAGTGATTTTGAACCGGTGGACTCATTCTTAAAAAAAAAGTCGGTGACAAGTGGGTAACACCCTCGATTCCCG